GGCTCCGTCGGCGTTAAGTACTGTAGCTCATGCGTCGGCAGTCGGTCGGTCATGCGAGTAGGGCGGGGAGTTTAGTCTCGTACGGAAATCATGCCATTAGCCTATAGAAACACGTACAGCCGGCCCTGCTGCCCTCCGCGCGCTCCGCTCCTCTCTCCTCGTCGCAGTGTGGGTCAGGACATGGGGGCGTTCAGTGCTTCGGTGTCGAGGTGACGTCCTGGAGGGACACAGAGAGACGCGGCGTCCCCGGCGGCGAGCGGAGCCGAGCGCATGGCCCGCACGGGGACTGCGAGCACAGCGGGGCTTCGAGGGCTGTCCCTGGCTCCTGCACAGCCCAGGACATTGCTGGCCCGTGTCCTGCCACCTGCTCGCGTGCGCAGGGCCGAGCGGCAAGAGCGCGCCCAGTGCGGGGACAGGGGCAGTGGCCGTGTGGGGACAGAGGCAACGTGCCAGGTGCCCGGGAGAGAGGAGCGGGCAACGGGCACGGCCTCCAGCGCAGCCCGCCTCGCTGCCGCCCTCTCGTGCCACCTCTCGCGCTGCTCCTGCACGCGCGGGAAGGGGACAGCTCTGTCCTGGAGGGGACGCGCGGCGGCCCCGGGCGCAGGCCGGGAGGGAGAGCGCAGGTTACCTCCAAAGAGGCCCTTGGAGGGGGTCACTGCTTCCCCCTTTTGAGGCTGGCGCGTTTCACTACGTGAGCGCCCATCCTGCCCCCGGAGACCTCCAGTTTCGGCACGCGGCCTCGCACCTGCTCCTGAGGGAGCCGCAGGGGCAGGAGGCGGCGCGCAGCCCGGCGGACGGACGGACAGAGACACAGGAGAGGACAGGAGAAGGAAAGGCAGAGTCAGGTGGCAGAAGACACTGAGCAAGAGGCGCGACAGGAGAGGAGGAAGGACAGGAGAGAGGCCAGGGCGGCTGCGCGCCGCGCCGTACCTTGGCCCCCAGAGCGTCCCGGTGGAGGCCGGCGTATTTCATGAAGTGGTCGGCCTCGGCCTCCAGGTCGCGGGTGTCCGGCAGGGAGG